TTAGTGGATGAGGGGAAGGCTGTGGATGCTGTCTACCTGGACTTTAGTAAGGCCTTTGACACTGTCTCCCACAGCATGCTCCTGGAGAAGCTGGCTGCTCACGGCTTGGATGGGTACACTCTACGCTGTGTTAAAAACTGGCTGGATGGCCAAGCCCAGAGAGTGGTGGTAAATGGAGTCAAATCCAGTTGGCGTCCGGTCACAAGTGGGGTTCCCCAGGGCGCAGTACTGGCGCCGGTCCTGTTCAATATCTTCATTGATGATCTGGAGGAGGGGATCGAGTACACCCTCAGTAAGTTTGCAGATGACACCAAGTTGGGTGGAAGTGTCGATCTGCTGGAGGGTAGGAAGGCCCTGCAGAGGGACCTGGACAGGCTGGATCATTGGGCCGGGGCCAACTGTATGAGGTTGAACAAGGCTCAGTGCCAGGTCCTGCACTTGGGTCACAATAATCCCATGCAACGCTACAGGCTGGGGGAGGAGTGGCTGGAGAGCTGCCTGGCAGAAAAGGACCTGGGGATGTTGGCTGACAGCCGCCTGAACATGAGCCAGCAGTGTGCTCAGGTGGCCAAGAGGGCCAATGGTGGTTGAGTCCCCATCCCTGGAGGTATTTAAAAGATGGGTAGACGTGGTGCTTGAGGACATGGTTTAGTGGTGAACTTGGCAGTGTTAGGTTAACGGTTGGACTCGATCTTAAGGGTCTTTTCCAACCTTAACAATTCTATGATTCTATGATTTAAAGAAAAAGGCATGCTGCAGAGGAAAGAAAACATAATTAATTTATCCTAGAAGACTTCCCCAAAGTTACCGCACTGTTTCTCCATTTCTGCTTTGTCAAACCTGTTCATATACAATGTGTCTTTCAAAAGAAAAGCTATCTGTCTTGCATAATACCATTTTTATGTATTCTTATGGTTTCTGTGTGAGGTCAGGAACAATTTTCCCCTACCTCAAAACCTTTTTGGCTTTCTGAAATACTGATAAAACCACTATGTGACTTCCTCCTCTTCTTTCTGCATTCACCTGCTGCAATGTTTGATGATACTGGTCCCAGATCCTCTGTCAAACAACTCCAGTTTGTGAGTTCAATCAGGTTTCTAATGCTGACTTACAATTCACAATGTCTTTCAAGCCAGCTTTTTTTGGCTTGCTCTCCTGCAGTCTGAGAGATTTGATCCTGAAGTGTTGTGTTGGGTGGTTCTTTATTTCAGTGTCTGTCTGAGGACTTGAAGAACTGGTGAGCCAAGTCACGTGCTTCAGAGTTGACTCACACTGAAGGGAAGAAACTTTGAGACTTGAACCTTTATTGCCTATTGCTGTATAAAAAAATTCTGCTTGTCTTGTATAATTGAAAATAATTATTAATAAGCACGAGATTGGGCTGTGATACTGGATATATTTAAAATAATGTTTTGAATATTTGTGGTTTCTCTGCATGCTATATACTCTGTTTCTTGGGACTGTGCCATTTTAAAATGATAGAACTATGGCTTTGCCAAAGTCTTCTACCCTTAGATCTCTGTGGGCATGCTTGTTCAAACCAGATTCATCATCTACTGTTTTTCTTTAAAGGGATTATGACTGATATTTGTCTGGCAATCACTGTTAAGTAGATTCATGCCTTCTGTAAAAATTGTAGCCAAGATAGGAAAGTGAGGGCAAGCACGTGCTTTGATAGTTCAGCTCTCTAGTCTCTTCATTTAATCATATGTCAGTTCAGTCTATTATTCCCAGATGAACACTGTTTTCCATTCTTTAAAAGCAGAGAACTAATGAGGGAGATGAAATGAAAAAGGAATACAGCACAACTGCAGTTTTATATTTATTGCAATAGGAATTCTTAACTGAGTAGTAGAGCTCAATTTGTTTCAGAAATATATCCCTCAAATATTTCTTTGCATTCAGAAATGATAATCTGTTTGCATACCTTTTTCATATTTGCTTTCCAAAATGATTTGGTGAATTAGTTTTAGAAGAGGATTTTCTGGTGAAATAGTGAATTGTAAGGAAAAACTTCAGGCTATTTGCAGAGTGTAGGTTTGAAGCTTGAGATTGCAAGAGCTCCTGTGACTAGCATAATTTTTAAATCATGTTACTGCCTTAGTTACAAAATGGAAGGAAAGCATATTAGCTGTATGGTCAATGAAAATCTTTTGAATTTTGACTGGCTCATACTTACACTGAACAGAAAGCACCAAACCAGGAATCATTCAGTTCCAATGAGCAGGTGGTCATTTTGATAAAAAAAAACTGGAGAAAGCTGTGACTGTTCAAATATTTGTCAAGGTTAGGAAAATTAAATTCTTCTTAGGTTCTTCTTAATGTTATTTCTTTCCTCTGGCAATATTGGGCTTAAGTCTGGACTGCAAATGGGAGAGAGGTGTGAAAAGTTCCATTGCAGATGACAGAACCATGCCTTTGCTCGTACTTGGAATCTGTTATTTGAAAAACATGCAGGTAATTTCTTTCAGTAAAGAGAGCTGCTCAAAGTCGGCAAAATCATGGAGACCAGAAAAAATCAGAAGATAGTTTGTGATTTTCAGAGGGGTTTACATATATATATATGTGTGTGTGTGTGTATATATCTATATCTGTGCATCTATATCTGTGCATCTTATCTATGTCTTTTTGCTTTTCCAGAAAAGAAGCAGCTGATTTCTACGTAGACCATCAATCAAAACCTTTTTATAAGTATGTATATCAGTTTCAGCTTGACATGTATTAAGCTTATTTATTGAATACACAGGATTCATTTACCATATTTGGTACTGCAGGACCATGGGAAAATCAGAACTTGTCTTAGTTGAGTGGAGCCCTTTGCAAAGTATGCACGCTGTTCATCTTCCTCCAGGGACAGATCCTTATTTCAGCTATTCAGGGTTTTAACTCACACTCTTTACAGCCTGATGATATCAGGGGAATGTCTTTGGTCTCTCCGAAGTGAGAGATGCTCCTAGCAAGGTGAAACTTCAAAGCCAAGGGAAGGAGCATCTTCAGGATCAGGGTGCAGCTTGCAGGTAATGAGAATTACCTTAGCTGTGAGAATTGATTTGGTAGCAAGTACCCCAAATCATAAGTAACTGAAAGGATAGAGCATCGGCAGTTGTTTACTGTACTGCTACCCTTGGACAAAATGTCAGACTTCCATGGTGCTAGACTGCTCCACCTAACATGAAAAACCTTAGCTGTTCCTTAACTGACCAGATAGATGCTTATGACCCAGAGGTTGTGTCATTTCTACTTTGCCTGAAAGTGCCAACAAACAACTTCCTTTTCCTCCCTTTGGATTTGGTGGTCTGCCTCTTTTAGGAAAAGGGTGCAGCTCTGCCTTGTGTTTTTCATCCTTGTTTGAACCCAGGTTTGCACTCACTTGGTCAAAAGACCTGGTTTCAGTACTGTCATGAAGTGCTTGAGTGTTAGGATCTGCCAGCTGCTCTTCTGCAACAGCCACTGGTTTATTGTGGCTCCAAACTTCATGGAGACATGGCCCCAGGCTATGTCTGACCATTTTGGAGATCAGAGGAAGATCTAGAATTGCCTTTTCTTTGCTGAGTAGGCCTGCTTGAATATGTTGATAAATAAGCAAGGATTTTGCCTGTAGTGTTATTTCTCAGATGTCTATCTACACTAATGGTAATTATCTGAGGAACTGTAGCCTTTATCCACTCTGCTCTGCTTGTCTCCCATCCTACAGTCCTTTTGGCTACATCTTTGGTATAGGATTGTTCTCTAAATTAGAAACAAATAGTTATAAAGTGTTACAAATCAAATAGAAAAGAATATTCAAGGCAGTGAAATGTAAAATCTCTGACTCATTTATATTTAGCGTTGTTTTACTTGTCTTTACATTCAGATTTAGTTTGCGAGTTCACTGGTCAATGTAACTCTAGTGAATAGTAGGGAAAAGAGCAGTTCTACTTCTTTGGAAAAGAATGTTTTTCATATTAAAGAATTTAATTTTTTAAATTTATTTAATATTCAGGATTAGTCTGCACAGTAAGCAGTGTTGTAGAAATTGCTTTTTTCTCTAGTGTATGTACGTGTAACTGTATCCTAAACAAGCAGTCTCTGACCAGCAGAACCTGAATTCCAATAGCTTTTGCCTGTGTAGTTTCTTTATGTTTATGTAACTTTTCATAGTTTTAATATTGATCCTGTAGCAAAGAACTAGTAGGATTTCTCTTCTCTTGTTGCCCACTGATCATTGCATAAATGATCATTAGGAAGAGGATGGTTGGAGAAGCGTACACATGCACAATTGTAATTCTGTAAAGCTTTTTCTGTGTGAAGCTCTTTTTTTTGTAAAGCTCTTTTTTAAGAAAGTAGTACAAAAAGCATTGAGTCAACTTTCTCCTTTGTTGATTCTGTCCAGACTACACAGTGAAAAGGCAAGCTTGTTGGTATGCATGTTTTGTAAAGATACAGAATTATAGTTATGATGATTTGTTTAGTTTTTAAATAGAACGTTTGCGTTTCCAATTTTGGGTGACAATCTCTTCTTACTCAGATTCATCCCATTAAAATCAGTTGATTTCTGCTTATGCCAGGATGTGGTAACTCACTTTGTGGCTAAGTCCCCTCTCCCCTGCAAACTTTCCACATTGTGCTTCTCCCTTCTCTCCCACTTTGGATTTTGGCTGGGCAAAATCCATGGAGAGATCCACGGGGCAGTGGAGCAATCCATCCTGACAGCAGTGCTGAGGTTGTGTCGGTGGGGAACACACATGGGTCATGTTTGAGAATCCTGAAATCCTGCTGTCCAGAAGAGACATGCTTAGGAATCATTCCTGTCAGACAAATGGTTAGCAGGGTCTCTTTCACTGTTGCCAGTACTGATCTTTTAAAAATTCTTTTGAAATCTAACATACTATACGGTAGCTTGAATGAGTTTCTGGTTCTTTTTCTACAGCCATAATAAGGAGGGAATGTCTGCACATGAGCTAGTCCAACCTCCTCCTTCAAAGCAGAGCCAACTTCAAAGTTAAATCAGGTTGCTCAAGGCCTTGCCGAGTTGAGTTGTGAGCATCTCCAATGGATCGTGTTTTTGTTGGTTTTAATTTGTAGTGTGGGTCACCATGTGCTGTTTCCATTTTGCAGTGAGCTTCTCCAGTTTATAACGAGTGGTCCCATTGTTGCTATGGAAATCTTAGGAGATGATGCAGTTTGTAAATGGAAAACATTACTGGGGCCAGCAAACTCTGCAGTGGCTCAGACTGATGCACCAGACAGCATTAGAGCGAACTTTGGACATGATGGCCTAAGAAATGCAGCTCATGGCCCAGATTCGGTTGCTTCAGCTGCTCAAGTAAGTTTTTGACTGTTTGTTGACTGAGGTTTATTTTTACTTTATCTGGTAACAGCTGGGTCAGGAATTCCTCAATTTTTTCCCCACTGGACTTCAGAACTAGTTTAGATATTCTTCATGGATGATATTTAGATATTCTTCATAGATATTCTTAGCATGGAAAAATAAGCTGTCTGAAAACAGAAATCTTGTTTATCTCTGTCACAAGCGAGAACCTTGGGCACTTTGATCAGGAGAGCATGCCTGGTCATTTTTAATGTCTTCTGTACATCACAAACATTGAGTTAATTGCATAGGCTGCATAATCTACCTATAGCCTACCAATGCTGGTCATAAAAAGAAAGGCATTAAACAATTAAATCCTTTTGTGCCCTCCTGTGTTTCGCTTATCTGTTCTCCTCCACAGTCCTCACCAGTCCTCTGCCTGCAGCCTATTTTCCTCTGCTGTTATTGTTCAGAATGAATAATTATGAAAACAGGCCACTTTCTATCGCTTCATGTTTTGAGAGGTAATACAGTGGGCTTGACTTGGAGGAATTCGGTTCTCTTTTGTTTTGTTTGCAGTGTGTCTTTCCTTAGCGCTAAGAAAAAGCCCTGGGACTGAGTGATAGATATTACCAGCATTGAGGTGACTGTTTCTGTGCGTTGTAGGGTAGATATGCTGATAAATGATGGCAAGAATAAAGTTTACCTCATGATTGATTGGTGTTGTGATGTGGTATCTTAGCTCTAGACCAGCAGGGAAAAGGTAACAGTTGTTGCTTCCTTGATCCTAGTCTTTCCTCTATTTAAATTGGAACAGCTGCAATAGCACAGCTGGAGAGAGACCTGCCCTGGAATACCTAATAAGCTGCCAAGTACCATATACTAGAAAATACATGTAGAGATTATATCCTGGTGATGAGGGCAGAGTTGGTCAGCCTCTTCTTCTGGCAGGCTGTTAGGCTGTGTGGCATAGCAAGCTAACTGCAAAGCCTGGGCGGTTTTCTGCCGGTCAAGCACTCATCTCGCTTCCCTGCACCATGCCTGGGCTGCCAGATCCTCTCCGCGTGCCTCTGGTTGTGACAAGAAATCATATGCTGGCCCTGAAGTACTTTTTCTGCTGGCAAGCTTGATGAAGATGGTACAATCAGAAAGAGTCTGGATGAAATGGATCTTTTCTGATGAAGGAGAATTGTAGTCAGAAAAGTCTTTGTAGTTCTGGTTAAATAGCTAGATGTCTTCATATATAAGGGTGAAAGTTTCTCTTTGTTCCTGTGTACTGCCGTGACAACTGTGCCAGCTTTTGAACCGAGCGTGTAGGAAAGAGTATTTATTAGCATAAAATTTTGATGAGAAGCATAAGTATGTGCTTTGGCTTAAGTTTGTTGTTCTTTTTGCATTTCATTATTTTTGAAATGCTGTTTGAAGGCCCCATTCATCTGCAGTATTTTTATATCCCACGATTATTTTGCTGAGCTTTTGCAGGTGTGTGCATCTTTGTAGTGTTACTGATACCTATCTTCAATAAGTCAATAAAAATTGTGAATTTAATACCCTGTGCCTATTTTAATTTAGTAGGCCCAGTATTATATGGCTGTATAGCAGTTGCCATGGAAACTAGTTGGCTATGCCTTGCAGAAGCTTTGCTGAAAAGAAAGAAATATAAGATAAAGGGACCTAAACAAACTCTTCAAAGGAAATCTGAAGTCTCAGTCGCATTGAATGAATGTATTGTAAACTAAACAGTTAGAATGGAAGACTGCCTTGCTCTTTTGGGAGCTAAATGACAAGTATGCCTCTGGTATACTCTAAGCTCATACCTCTCTGCAGGCCAAATTTTGGAATTTCTTTAGATCAGGAATAAAGGGAAAGGAAAAGAATTTTCTTTTTAAGGCTCCACTTGGTTATAGTTTGGCATTTCATTACCCTAGTCCTTCAACATTATTTAGTTACTTTCCTTTTATGACTTAATGGATAAAACAAAGTGTTAAATATTGTAACTATTTTGCTGCCTTTTCCTGGCTGCTTCTTTATAGAGTAAACATTAGTTAACAGAGTGGGACATGGTCTTGAAGCATGCGGCATTTTATCAGTAGAAGGATGTAGGAAATGAACCCTTTTGTCTCCGATATGCCCACTTAAAATGTGGATTATTTGCTAGGAGAAAAACAAAAACCATTTTCCCTTCTATTGAAAGGTCCATTAGTTTGAATTGTATAATTGTTCAAGTAAGGATTACAGGAATCATCGGAGTGCCACGAGCTAAAGACTGGGAGATAGCTAAGTCTATTCCATCTGAATTGAGCTACTAAATTAAATGAGACAATTTCAGGAAATGGCCTTTAGCACTGCTACTGTTATACAGGAAAAAATCAGATAGATTCAGTAGTAGTATTTCCAGGATATTATTATTTCCCTTAAATAGAAATTTATCAATTCTCTTACTGAATTTGATCAATAGGTCTGAAATGGAATCTGTGTTTTGAGCATCTGACTAATGTTAATTGGCAGATTGTGTAACATATGTGAATAAATGGTATAGAAAAAGTGTGAAGCTGGCAGTGAACAGTGAAAAAATATCAATGAGGAAAGAAACCTGGCTGTCAGGCTCACCCCAGTATGGTCTAAGACCCAAGCTCTATGATACCTGAATAGTGATGGAGGAAAGAAAGGAAGTCATCAGAGGCAAAGAGGTTCTTTTCATTCATCCCAAAAATCAGAGCAATTGAGTTTATCAGCTTCAATTCAGTAAGATATAAAAAAAAAACAAAAACAAAAACAAAACAAAATAGGGTCGATAAGGCATGAAGAGTGAGTCAACAATTTTAGACAAAGTGTAGTTGTTTAAGACAAAAGGAAAAAAATTGCAAACAAATGGGATGGAGGTCAGTTTTGTATATGGAAAGAAAACATACTGAGAAATGGATGGGAGTTGCACTTTTGCTCATATAGTGGAAAAGATTATGTGAAAAAGGGAAGATAAAATATATGTATATGAGAGTGGATTTAGGAAAGATACTGAGGAAAGAGAGAGAATTAGAAAACTGGGAAAACCTCTAACAAATGATTGTGGCAACAGCATTTTGAATGCTCTGAATGGGAATGGATTGCATTGCAGAAGTGAAAAGAAAGACATTGCAATAAGTATTCAAATCATGTTTTTATGATTGTAGCAATGGTGCGAGAGAGGGAAAGATATATTTGAGAGAATATTATAGGGAAAAAGTGTTTGTAGCGCAAAAATTTACAATTAAGGTTTATCTTCTGTGATTATGGATACTTCAGATGTTGTTACTTATGATAAAAGCTGATGTATGCAGCTAGATGAATCTAAAATGTATTCAATTACAATTGTTTTCAGGAGCTGGAGTTGTTCTTTCCCTCCAGTGGAGGTCATGGACCAGTCAACAGTGCAAAATTCACAAACTGTACTTGTTGCATTATTAAGCCTCATGCAGTTAATGAAGGTAAGCAATGCAGATAGTGGAGGTGAAAGCAATGTGTGCTTCATTGTATCCGTGATCATTTCTGTGCCCTTTTTGGGGAAAACGAGACTGCAAGAGCATGGGGTATATTTCATAGTACACGCAAAAGCACACAGATACGTTGTCTTTCATACACCTTTAGTATTTCTGCAGTTCGGTTCCATGAAGAGTGGGTCATGTGCTTTCCATGTGGATACTCGTTAATTTCAGAATAAGAAGGGAGAGGTGAAAAAAAGAGGGATAAAAATATACATGGGATTTGATGAATCTTACTGTGACAGCTTACCATGTCCTTGCTCCCGTCTGCCCACCACACTCACCTGCTGGAGGTTAGCATCCTCACGGCTGAGTGAAAGCAGGACACCTGGCCTTGTTGCAGGGCCTTCCGCTCACGCAATAACACATTACGTTAAAACTACTCACAAAGGGAGATTTGTGCTGATGTGAATCTTATTCTGGTGAATGCAGTGGGGATGGAAAGTAGAAAAGGCTTGTTTACTCTATGAAAGTGAGCCAAAGACCTAAAGCATTTGTTGGACTCTATGATGCTTTCTGTGCTGAAGAATGCCCCATGAGCTCACCATATGAGTATTGGAAATGTTTAATGCCCAACTGTCACCATGCAAAAATAATCTCACTTTTGTGTCCTGTACTTAGATACAGGAGCATGTGTAGGAGCAGTGAGTGCAGTAAAATATTTTGGCTCTGGCACTGCAACAGTGTTTTTGAGCGCAGAATAAATATTGCCATGTGAGAGCATTGAGATTTTTCTTAGTAAGATGCAGAGCACACTGCAACATTTTAATCACTTCTCTGTGGATAGCTGCAATGGAAACAGCAGAAGTGGCCGTAGCAGTTTCCAGACCTTTCACACCTCAAGTGGGATGTCTGGACAGCTTGCTGAAAAAAAAAAAAAAAAGGCTTTCACAAGAAAGAGTCTCGCACTCACTGCTGATAATATGCCTGTTATCTCTTTGAGGCCTTGCATGGTATCTGCTACTGATAAGTCTGCCATGCAGCAAAGACAGAGTGATGCTCCTTTTACAGAAATATGGGCAACAGCTGGGTCTAGGATCTTACCTAGCTAAATGTTTGCAGAGGACGAACTTTTCTGTGGCAGGATTGTTAGGGTCCTTAATTTGATTGTGAAAATAGCAAAGCGGATGGCTTGGGCTGTGCTTTCTTATAATTAAGATACAATTTCTATTAAATATGGGGGCTCAGACTCTCTCTTAGTCAGCTCAGGTTGTCCCTTCCTACTTTTAATCTTCATTTCTGTAGATTTCATAGTGCCCTGTCTGTTACTTTCTTTTTTCTTGAACTTCTCAGAATTTTTCTGAATCGCCAAAGGACAAATTCTGGCTCTGTTTGCACTCCCCTTTGGGAGCATGGGTGTCTGGAGGAGGTGGGGGTGGTGAGAGAAAGAGGTACAGGTACAGATAAACAGAAAATATAAGTGCACACCCAGCTTTACAATGTGAGCGCTAGAGAGACTGGACTAAAACTGAGTTTAATGTCTACTATATAGTCCTTTTCTCACACCGCAGAGGGCTGGAAAGGCAGACCACAGATGCCAAACAGCAACTAAAATTTGAAAGACAAAGTGTACCTTGTGTGAGCGTTCTCTGTCCATGCAGCTTTGATTACTACCCTCAACAGAATGAAGAAATCAAAACTGAATTTTCTTTTCTAAGTCAGCAAAACATTTTATCAATTTTAAATTAATATCAAGAATGATGGGATTCAGGGACTGGCTATGCTTTTACCTCACCAAGCTCTGTTCTTCCTGCCTGTTTTCTCCAGTGTTACTTTGAATGTTTCAAAAGCCACAGGTGCTGCATCTCTTAAAGAGATTATGAGACTGTGGAGGTCTTGTAAAACTTTCCACAAGTCTGGCTTCTGACAGGGAGTTGGGCTTAGGGAAGGGAAGAGTCGTGGTGGCTGAGCAGTGGCCTCCTCCTTTGGCTGAGAGCACTGGTGTGGCTTCATATTGCAACTGGACTGGTTCCAGTTTGCAGTTTAAGGTGAGATGAATCCTTTTTCACAAGGGCTGCAGGAACTCTCCAACATCAGCCCAATGGGCCAGGAATGTCTCAGGGTTTGGCTTTCTTAGCCTGTCCTCCTTCTGTCTTCCTTAGTCTTTCTCGTATTCTTCTTCAGCCAACTTTTGTGAGTAACAACAAAAATATCACGGAGTGGCATCTCTTCTGGTACACTTGGTCTTCTTACAAAGCACTTTGCATCATCACAGTGGTTGGAAGAATCATGCACAACAGAGTAGAGAACTGTGTGCTAGCTCTGCAACAGTTTTTGGAAGTCTTAATTCCAAATTTACTCTCTTATGATTAAACTGCCTCTTTTAAAGTTGAAGGAATGTAGCCTTTGCCTCCTATAGATTTTAAAGCTTTTAAAGTTTTTGAGCATGCTGTGTGGCAGTTGGCAGGCTGTCTCTACAGAAATGCCACCATTCCTCTTTAACTGTTTTGGAGTCAGGGAATAGCACGCTGAAAGGGTTTGGGGGGACCAAACAATCTGCTGGGAAGAACTCCCAGCTGCCTGCCTGAAACAGGCAGACAAGAAGGGGGAAGCCTGGCTGTAGGGGATTAGAGAGCAGAGTCATGGCAGTGGAGCAGGTTGGCCCCATGGATTGTGGATCTGTAGGCAGAAAGTTTGAGAAAGGAAGGGCTGACCTATTTGGGCTCAGCGATCTGTGACAGAGAGGGATGCCCTGCTCATCTCATCTCCCTTTTAATGGCTGTTAGCAACTGGGTTCAGTGATACCCGAGACATTCTGGTTATACCAACAACATCTCCTGTGTCTCAGTTGAAGAAGGTGCTATAGCAACTAGTGAGCCACCCTTTTGGCAAAATGGCATGTAGTAGATTGCGTAGTCTTAGAAATAAGCAACTTGCTTACACCCAGCAACAGTGCTTCTGGCTGTGGCTGTCCACCCTGCTGTTTCTGGTGGGGAGAATGTAAGCAGCTGGAGAGGAAAGGAAATCCTGTATAGCCATTAGTGTAGAAAGGTGGTTTGGCAGACGAATTTATGTGGGTCAAAGCAGCAGAGCCTGTTACGCATTGCAGATTTGATTTGTGTTCCACAAATTTTCACTATCGAGTATCTAAAAATAAACCTTTTTGCCATTTCCTATGTGCTGCTGAGGCTTTGAACTTGATTATCTAATTACCATGAATATAATCTGCTCATTACACATCTACAATTACGTCAAGTTTCACTTACACACTTGAGCTTATACAGAGCTTTAGTCTTTATTTCTGCAGAAACATTTGACCGAATTAAAGATTTGAGTTTTCCTTTCCAGTCCTTTTCCCCAGTGTTCCTTTTTCATCCAGAGTCTGTTGCATAACTGATTCTTAGAAGGAAAAATCTTCTGTTTTTCCATCCTGGAAGATGGTTTGCTTTAACCACAGCTGTAACCTAGGAGGTTTTTCAGTGAGCTTACCTTGCTGTCAGAAGGCTGGATCTCATCTCTAGTTTATGCTGATTAATTCTCAGACAGAGTCCTTACTTAGAAACTGACTTTGATTACTGTAGAGGGTTCATAGGGTTCCTATCCAGCGACAATGCAGTGGAAAATCACTGTTGGTTTTATCTCTGGCCTTGCTGCCCCTCATCTGTTGCTAGGCAGCTGCAGCAGCGCAGCCCGACCACCTGCAGCAGGACCTGGCGCAGCGCTCACGCACACGTTAAGTCCTGTGAGCGAGAGTACCGCAAGCGTCTGCCGGGCTGCAGAGAAACCCTGGGGCCTGACAAAGGGTGTCAGGGGAGTTACGTGAAGTTTAACTTCAGCTGTCAAGCGTGCTGGTAATGCTGGAGGAGTGGTATTGCCGGCTCTCTAGGAACATGCATCATACGCGCCTCTTAAAGAAGTAAGGCAATAGCTATTTTCTCACTCTGGTGTCAGCATGTCTTCTGTGGAGGATCAGAGATGGGAAGACAGCTGGGAAGGCCGTTGAAGGCTATGTAGCCCGGTGCTCCAGACTAGACAGCTTTAGCTCATTCTCTGGCGGCTCCTCCCAGTGGAGATGAAGCACTTCCCTGGCTGGCTGGGAGGTGGGCAGTGGTGAGGTCGTTGTATTTTAACTCTGAAAAGGGTTTGCAAGAGCAGCCCAATTCCTCTTTATTGGGAGCTGAAAGAGTGCAAAAGCAACCCGATGCTATTCCATGCAGACTTGCTCTGACCAGAGGCATATTGGCGAGGCATGATGTGGTTTGACCCCTCTAGAATCTGCCAAGCTTTTGAGTGTCTTTTACCCGTCTCCTCTTCTCCTGAGACCAGTTTTCAGTCGAGGAGGATGGTAACTAGTAAGCACAGCTCCTCAGTGTGTAGGTTACGATTGTAGGGCTTAATATTTTAATAATCTAAGAGTTTTAGTGTGGATCTGTGTTCTGAAACCCACTTGCGTCTTGTGCTTGGAGCTTCTGATTCTTCAGATACAAGGTCACAGTTGCAATCATTTAGACATTCTCTTTTTGTAATTCCCCTCATTTTAGTAGATCTGGAGGTGTTGGCAGTAGTGCTCAGAAGCCAAAATTGTAAATGCACCAAAATGGATGAACTTCAGTTTAATGCCCTGAGAACAGTTATGACTCGACTGTTTTGTCAGTAGATCACTGGGTGGGATTAACTTTAATGTATTTATGTGTAACAGTTTAGTCATGTTTGCTGTAGGAATTAGAATTTGGCATTTCATGACTGGTTTAAAGTTTCTTTGATGTGGCTTTTACTTAATTCCTTTGAAAAACGAGCAGGGAAAAAATGATTAAAGTAGTGATGATCAGGCTATAAAGACTGAGGTCAGAAGTTGGTAACATTTCACATTTTGTACTTAGGTTACAGTGCAGAGCTTGAGAGGTGAAATCCTGCCCTCCTTTTCTGCACTCCCAAGCTGAGACATGGGTTCTCCTAAAGTCAGAGTTTTGTCAAAAACAAATTTGGGGCTAGAACTGTGCCACGAA